GATGGGCACCCTGGGATAAACACGTCATCCCTGTATTCCACCTGGCCTCTCAGGTGTGGGTGATAGGCCAGGTGGACTACAGGGTCACACAGCTAGAGGCGTGCCCCAGGGCACAGTGTAGGGCATGGAGGAGGGAGGCATTTGGGTCCAGGTGTTACCTAGGGTGGGGCTTAGGCAGAGCAGAAAGAACTGTGAACTGGGCATCCAGGTGACTTGGATGTAAGATCCCCCTGGGTTTGCAGCCTAGCAATTCCCTTGCTATCGGGGCCACCTCGGGTTCTCCAGCTTGCCCTCTGCAGGCCCAGGGTGTCCCAGGCCTGGCAGGAGCTCACGCCAGGGCCTGGCACCTCCTTGCAGATTTCCCCTGGGGCCTTCTATGGTCTGGGTCCAGGCCTCCAGAGCCTGCACTTGCAGAAGAATCAGCTTCGGGCCCTACCTCCCCTGCCCAGCCTCAGCGGGCTTGAGCTCATCGACCTCAGTGCCAACCCCTTCCACTGTGACTGCCAGCTGCTCCCGCTGCACAGGTAGCACCCAACTCCCAGCCAGGCCCTGCAGGGTTGGGTCTGTTCTCTTTTTTCTTTTTACCATGGTGCTAGGGATTGAACCTAGGTTCTTATGCTCACTAAGTAAGTGCTCTACCAGAGCTAAACGCCAAGCCCTGCTTTATTTTTTGAGACAGGGTCTTGTTGAGCTGCCCAGGCTGGGCTTAACCTTGCAGTCTTCCTGCCTCAGCCTCCCGAGTGGCTTGGGATACAGGCATGTGCACCATGTCCTGCTCCTGATATTGTTCCTCCTCCCTTTTCATAAAGGACTGAGGCTTGAAGTGACTCAGAAGCCACATAACTGAGAAGCTAAGAGCCAGGACTCTGGGCAGCACCCTGTTAGACCCGCTGTCCCCAAACTCCCGATCACCCCTACTCCCTTCTGGAAGGTCAGGCTGTGTGCTTCCCAAGCTCTTTCCTCCCCAGGTGGCTCACTGGGCTGAACCTGCGGGTTGGGGCCACTTGTGCCACCCCTCCCAATGCCCGGGGCCAGCGAGTGAAGGCTGCAGCTGCTGTCTTTGAAGCCTGCCCAGGTTGGGCTGCCAGGAAGGCCAAGCGGACACCAGCATCCAGGCCAGGGACCCGGAGGGCCTTGATCAAGGGAAGGCCATGAGGAGCTGGCAAGGTTGGCCAGGAGCGGGGCTGGGCAGGGAGGAGCAGGCCTTCGACTTCTCCTCCCACTCAAGGGCCCCCGAGCTGAGTAAGGGCCCACACCCTACTGTGTCCCCTGCTCCTCTCCAAAGGAAATGATTATGTGCTGCTTCATCCCATGGGACAGTGGCCTTTCCTCTAAGCCACAGAACCCTGGTCCCAGTGTGTCCTTAAAGGACATCATGTTTCTGCTGGCCTGCTGCTGACTCAGCCATTCCCATCCTGACCTCATGACATTGCTGGGGGCACAGGTGGGGACCAGGCTGCACCCCACTTCATCCCTGCATCCTGACTCAGCTGGAACTCACAGTTCTGAAATCTCAGCACTTCCCAGTCGGGTGTGCAGGACCTGGCCCAGGAAAGAGCCTCCCCGGGGGGAAACTGAGCAAAGGCAGGAAGGGGTACCTGCCCCCCTTGGGAACTTCCTTAGGAGACTGAAGATGCCTGGCGCCATTGGTGGGGTTCAGATTAGTTCCTGAGGCTGCTGCAACCAAGCACCACAAACCAGGAGACACAGGACAGCAGTTATCTGCCTACTCAGGAGACCTGAAGTTGGAAATCAAAGTGTTTGGGGTCACTGTGTGAAACCTGAGAGGAAGGATGCTTTCTGGATCATTCTTGTAGCCACTTGGTGGCCTGAGGTGTCTTCTGGCCAAATCCTCGCCTTCACATGATCTTCATGTCAGCTGCCCTCTGTATCTGTCAGTGGGGTTCCCCTGTCATTTTTCACCCCCTGCAGTGCTGGGGGTTAAACCCAGCATCTAATATATTTGAGGCAGGTTCTCTACCACTGAGCTGCATCCTTAGCCCATATATTGACTGATCGCGACAGGCCTCATGATGTGGTTCAGGCTGGCCTCAAACTAAGGGTGAAGCTCCTGCCTCCACTTCCCCAGTGCGCAGGCAATGGTTCATTCCTAGCCCTTCTGTGAGGTGAGACAGGGTCTTGCTAAATTGCCCAGGCTGGCCTCAAACTTAACAGTCCTCCTGCCTCAGCATCCCAAATTGCTAGGGTTATAGATATACCTAGCACAAATTTCCCCTTTTTGGATACTGGCCACAGTGAGGCAAGGCCCAGTTTAACGACCTCATTTTAACCACATTACTGCTGTAGCAAGTTTATTTTCAAGTCTACTGGGGGTGAAGGTTCTAGCATATCTCTTAGGGGAAAGTATAATTCGGCCTGAAAGCATGTTCTGGAAGGCTGAAGTGAGGAAGGGCTCTCCAACACACCCCCCAGGCTGGAGGGGGACAAGTATCACCACCGAAGCATCCCAGCTGGCTTTGGTGCTGGGAGCGATGTGGTCTCCAGCAACACTTCTGTGGCACCGACCAGGCAGATGCTGGCACTGGCCAGGACCTGGCAGCCCCAGGAGAGGTGTGGAGGCTCGGCGGGCTGGCCCATCCCAGCTCAGTGTGGGACTACAGGAAGATGGGGGTTCAGTGGGAGCCAGGCCCCTCAGAACATTCTAAACATCCCACCTCGTGCCAGCCCTGGAGTCCTGGGTCACAACCTTTCTTCTACTTTGAGATACCCTCTTGCTAAGTTGCCCAGGTTGGGATCAACTTCTGATCCTCCTGCAGTTTCCTAGTGTTGGGATTACAGGTGTGCACCATGGCGCACACAGACGCGCTTTAGGGAAAGCAGCAGTTTCCTGCTGGGGACGCACAGGGACTGCCTCAGCCCTGCACCCTGGCGGGGTCAGGCCGAGGGCCTGGGCAACACCTGCCTCAGCCTCCCTTGCTGCTACAGCATCATTTGGTGTTATCAAGTGGGAGGAACCCCGTGCAGTCGACAGGATGGAAATCTGTGTTGGTGGTGATGAGGCCTAACCTGGGCTGTCTCGCTGCTGTCATTTGACACTGAATGGAAGCAACTGCCCTCCCCTTCCTCTGCACCAGGGACTGATAGTGGGGACAAGCCACTAAGGAGCTAGAGCAGCTGAATAAACACAAAGCCGCACCCCACCCCACCATACACACCAGAAGGCAAAGGCTACACAGCAAGACAGCAGGGGCATGGAAAGTGACGCCTGGGCCCAACTTGCTGTGATGGCCACTGACGGGGACCAGACTTCCCAGTGAACGCAGGTGCCTATTGGCATCAGCAACTCAAGCTATGTGTGCTTTCCATTTCAGACACTTGGCAAAGCTGACTTCCCGTCAAGCCTGAGCTAGGACTAGGGACAGGTAAGAATTGGGCCTTGCCTCTGGGGACCTTGCAACTGGGGAAGGGAATGGCACGTGACAATAGCACACTATGCAGTTGTTTCAGGGTACCTGAGGTGATGACTGGCGCCCCTGCTTTGCCCTCATCTGCCCTTAATACTTTAATTTAGTGGTACCAGTGACTGCACTCCGGACCTTGCACTTGTAGGCAGGCCCTTATGCTACTGAGCTATCTGCTATCTCCCTGGCCCTGCACTTAACAGACTTTAAGGTGGCCCTCAGGCACACAGGAAGAGACAGGCGCTACCCTGCACAAGGTGCTCGGGAAGCTGGCCTCTGGTCATGGCATCTTGTGTTTGCAGAACCTCTAGGGATGGCTCCTTCTTTGGGGAAGGCAGAGCGGCTCAGAGCGTTTCCTGGAGCGCTTCAGGCAGGGGTCCCTGGCCCGCTAAGCGAGGCGATACGTTCTGTTCCGCTGGGCTCCTGAGCCAGCTGCAGGGCCAGGGAGTCTACTCGGGTGTCTTCCTTGCACAGCCCGCACACGAGAGTGGTGCTCGGCTTCTGAGCTGTGCCTGCCACAGCCGGGGTCTTCTCTGTGCACCAGGCCGTGCTGGCCTGGACACTGCACTGCCATGTGGATCGGATGCACAGGGCTATGTCCACGTCCCTGCTCAGGCATGTGCCCAGGCTGAGTGCCAGCCACTGGCACAAGGACTCGAGGGGCCACTGAGGTGGCTGGGCACAGAGGCAGCCCTCGCAGGACAGACAGGAGCTGCTGGGCCACACGTGGAGGAAAGGGAAAGGCTGGGGACCCAGGAAGCTCTGGAGAGACTGGATTTCAGGGCAGACTGAAGGGCAAAATCAAGAGCAGACACGAGGTGAGCGTGCAGAACGCAGTTTAGAGGAGCAGGGAGGGGGCCCAAGAGGGTGCAAAGGCCGGCCAGGGCCTCTGGGAACACTGGCCACGGCCCACACCAAGGCCACACCTGACCCTAGTTCACCAGAGGGAACAGAAACATCAGGGCCCAGCCGGAGCCCCACCTTGTGACCACCCTGTGGAACCTGGTGTCACAGGGTCCTGGTGGAAGCCAAGGTCACAGGCTCTCCAAGCCCCGCCCACTCCTTGCAGGAAATGGCAACTCCACTGCACAGGGACAAGGGCACCTTGCAGGTCTGCAAATCCCACTGTCCTGGTCACTGCATCTTAGCTGCCTGCCATGGTGGGGTCCTCATGGGGCGAGGGTCAGCACTGTGACCCCCAGGAGGTGAGGCCTTCCGTAGGCGGAAGCGGATTGCTTTGCATCAGCTTAGCCCCTTGCAGGCATCTTCCGGTGCTGCCTGGCGTTGGGCATGTGGGGAGGGGAGGAGCCCGCTGTAAACCCGGAGCTAGGTTTGCAGTGCTGCACGCTTGTGATCCCAGTGCTCCAGGAGGCTGAGGCAGGAGGAGTACAAGTCTGAGCCCACGCAGGGCCAATTTGTGATGTACTGAGATTCTGTCTCAAAAAGTAAAAACAGGACACTTGAGAGGCTGAGGCAGGAGGATCATTGAAAGTTTGAGACCAGCCTGGGCTACAAAGTGAGCTCAAGGGCAGCCTGGGTTGCACAGCAAAAGCCTGTCTCAAAAAGTTGACCAAAAAAAAAAAAAGTAAACAAGTGCTGGGGTGTAGCTCAGCTGAGGGTTATAGGTTCTATCCCTAGCACTGGGGAAAAAGAGTGGGCAGCAAGTGTGCTTCCTTGAAAAGAACAGGATCCAGAGGCTGTCACACAGATCTGCATGGGGCACTCAGGCAGCTGGGTCACAAGGCCTCGTGGGGGGCAGCAGAGGGAGGACCCCGGAGCCCCAGCCTGCTCCTCCGGGCACAGGCCCCACTCCCCAGGAGGGCTACTTCACACTGGAGCCGTCTCGAGCTCCACGGACGGGCCGGAGGGGCCCTCTGCTCCCTGGCCCGGGGTGCTGCCACCGGGCACCTGGGCTCAGTCCTCCATCTCCTGCTTGATGCTCTCCACGGGCAGAGGCAGCTCCAGGCTGGCAGCCTTGTCGGGCGAGGCCATGTCCAGGTGCTCCTCCTTCACACACACGGTAATGACTGTGGGTGACAGTGGCGTGAGTGTGCGTGGCCGGAGGGCCCAGTTTCCCACAGACAGAGCCAGCAGGAGGTGCAGGCAGCGGGGGACACTCCTGTCCCCTGCTCACCTCCCAAGGCAGCAGAAGAGGAAGCTGGGGGCCGGGGCACGCCCAGCCAGCCAGCAGGTCACGCAGAGATGCTGGCACCGCGCCTGTCCCCACCCCAGCACGCACAGCGGCTGCAGGAGGAGGAGGAGGAGGCACGGCTGGGCTGCCGGCTGTGGTGTGCAGGCCCAGGGGCTAAGGACCCCCCTCCACCGCGGCGCTCTCTTCTGTGCCCAGGTCGGGAAGGAGAGGTCTCCAAACGCAGCGCAGGCCGGCCCTGCCTCGACCCCGGGGACTCACTGTCTCCAGGCCCAGGCTCCGACTCCACCTTCCCTACAGCCTTCGGCTCATACTCCAGCAGGGGCTTCTTGGAGCCCTGTCTGAGGGCCCGGGGCTTGGCGGGCGGGATCCTTTTCCCTTGGAATAAAAACAGAATTGAAGCTGCATTAGGGTCCATTCTGCACAAGGCCTGCTGGGCAGGGTGTGGGGCAGACTGACAAGGTGACAGTTTGGGACAGATACGCGCCGTGATGTCAGTGAGTTCCTCCATCAGGGTTCTCTACACCTTGCCCCCTGTGCCTACCTGTGCATCCCAGTGCCTCCCCGGATGTGGCCACACCCTCATACCACCCTCCTTGTGCCCAGTGTCATGAGCTTTGGTTCTGGCCGGTCTCTGTGCCCTGTGCCACACTCTAGCTCCAAGTTTAGCTCTGCCAACTTCCCTCTCTGTGTCCCCCCACCCTGGGCCTGTGCCACCACCCTGAGGAGAGTGGGGGCCCAGGAAGCCCTTGTCTCTTTCTGACCCCTTCCTCAGGGCCCACTGGCCTCAGGTGCCCGGGGCCACACTGCTTGGCAATTATGTGGCACTCTCTCCTTTCCCTCACCGTGTGACCATCTCCAGGGAGACTGAGCCCCTATGCATGCTCGGGTGCCCAGAGCCCCAGGGGTCCTCCCTGGAGAGACACACGAAAGCAGTGGCTCCTGGACACCACTGCTTTGGCTGCCCTGGGACACAACTTACTTTTTTTCCCAAACTGTTTCTTTTTCTTCTTTGTGGCCTCTCTGGCCTTCAGAGGTGTGGTCGGTTCTGTGGGTGAAAGATAGGGGCAGCGGAGATGAGGAGGAGCCACAAGGACAGAAGGCAGAGGGGGTGAACAGAGTGTGGGGGGAGGGGCTGGTGGGCCTGGGCAGGTACAGACAGATGTGGGCAGGTGTGGGGAGGACGCAGCAGCAGTGCTGTGGGCCTGGGAAGGAGGGAGGAGAGGCCTGAGCAGGGAGGGGGCACTGTGGAGGGCAGTGGGAGGCTTCTAACTTCACGCCAAGAAGCTGAGCTAGCACGAGAGGGATGCAAGTGGCGGGAGGCCAGGGACGGGGGAAGAGTGCTGCAAGCCCAACCTGTGGCCACTGGTGGCTGCAGCTGGTAGCCGGTGAGCTCGCACCAGCCCACGGGATAGATGTCCGGGGATTCGCAATCCACCCACTGGTCATACTCGCTGTCCCAGCCGTCGAAGTGGATGCTGAGCAGCCGGTGCACCACCCGCTTCACTGTAGCCACACAGATGAGACGTGGCTCCATCAGGTCCACGGCCTCCAGCTTCATGCCCACCTTGAAGCCATGGTTGGGGCAGTCCTGGGAGGACAAGAGGCTGGTGTGGAGGGCCGGCAACACTGTGGCCACAACATCCCTGCAGTCCCCCAGAAGGAGGGACTGGAACTGCCACCCCACAGCACCACAGCACCTGGTTCCATCCGGGGCACTCACCATATTGAAGAGTCTCGCTGGAGCTGCTTTGGATTTGGTCTTCTCCAAGTAAGTCTCCCAGTTGAAGGTCTGGCTCTCATACCCTACAGGAGTGGAGAATTTCCATGCAGGAGAGAAGACACAGGAAGTGGGCTGGGGGAGGGTAGCTCACTGCCCAGCTTGGTCGGGACCCAGCCTGGGATCTCTGTGGCAGCCACCTTCCCTCCTCCTCTGTGACATGGCACCTGCTCCAGGACTACAGTCCTGCTGTACAGGCCCTTCACTGCTCAAAGCCACAAGCAAAGTTCTGTTCACCAACCACCTACACCTATGGTCTAAGGGCCATCAGAGGCTGTCACCTTCCCCACGCCTTCAGAACTCCATGGCCAGGGGTCTACATGACCAGCACCCTGGCCCATGACCTCACTTTGCAAGGCCAGGGCACTGTGCTGCACCAGGCTCACCTTTTGGGGGCATGAGCTCAATGTCATTCTTCTGGCAGAAGGTGGCTGGGAAGATGGCATGGGAGGAGGCGTGGTAGCAGAACCAGTCAGAGCCGTCGGTGGAGGGTCCCCCATCTACACAGATCATCAGGTAGCCGTCCAGGAGGACCTAGGACAGCGTGGACCACAGACAGGCGCCTCATTAGTGGCTGTGGCCCTGAGGTAGGCGGGGCCCTCACAAATATGCCTCGCAGCTGAGCCCCTCGGAAAGCCAGCTGGAGCCGTGGGAGCCAGGCCCTGGCCCACCTTGCAGATGGTTGCTACGCAGATGTTCCCCAGGTTCAGGGGGTCGATGGCCTCCAACTTCATCCCCTCCTCAAACCAGCCACCTTCTGTGTAGACAGCACGTACCTTAAAGGAACAGGGCAGCTGGTGAAGGCCAGGTGGCAAAGGGTTCTGGGAACAGAGGGGCAGTCCCTGAGAGATACCAGGCTCCTGGACCCAGAACGGGTTGCAGGTACGGGGAAAAAGCACTCATGGGCCACGCCTCACCTTCTTGAACAGGTAAGGGACAGCATCACAGTAGATCTTCCGGAAGGTGGGGTGATGGGCCATGTCACTTCGCCTCTCTTGAGAGGTAGAGGGTAGGAGGAAAAGAAGGGAGGTGAACCTTGGTGCCACCCCAGGAAAAGTGGCTCCTCTAGCAGTATGTAGTCTGGCCCAGACATCATATGGAGCCCGTGGGGGACCTCTCAGCCTCAGACCTAAGCCTCCTTACATGACACCCAAGCCAGAAGCAGTAGGACGAAGTCTTGATTCTACCATGTACCTCCTGGGTGACTCGGCCCCCTGGGCCTCAGGCTGGTACTCCCTCCCTGCCATTCCTGAGCTCTGGGCCCAGGGTGCTGCTGACCTGACATCTTGATGCCATGGCCAACACGCCGTGACCATCCCACTGGGTGGATCAGGGGGCTCCACATGTGACACCAGAAATCATCATCACTATCACCATCCTCATAGAGGAGCCTCAGGCGACCTCCAATCACTGTGTCCACCACAGCCATGCGGGTCCGTGACACCTGGGACTTGTCTACGACTTCCAGGCGCATGCCCTGGCGGAAGGGGTACTTCATGCTCTCCACCATCTGCAATGGCACCAGAAACAGGCTGCTGTAGCCCCACGTTCCTCCTCCTGCCTCCCTGCTTTGTCTGGAGTCAGCAGAGGGCAGGGATAGCATGGTGACATCAGGAGTGACAGGGAACCTGTGCCTGCAGGTTCACTTGGGCCCAAGGCACATGGGGCCACATCACCAACACCAGTGACTCAAGGTAACAGAAAACAGAAAGCTGGTAGTGGCCTGGGTGCTGCCCTCTAAGCCTGGCCTCCTCCTCAGACTCCTGCACCCCCTGGCCTTCTGCTGAGGGCAGTGCGGGTCTTAGGTCTCCATGCGTCCACTTCCAACTCTGATTCTGAAGGGCTGTGGCTCAGAAGTGCTTTTGGAGCGCTGCTGCAGCAATCTGTGCCCTCTAACCCAATAGGGGACAGTGCCTAAACAACAGTGGTGGGGCACAAGTGGGCAGCAGGTTCCTCACACACTGTGACTTTGACACAAAGCCCTTGTGTCTAGGTAGGGCTTTTCCAGTCCCAAGACACAGCAGGCTTGGCGATCAGCCCTGGCAAGGTGCGTGACAAGACCAAGACAAAGCTGGGTGTGGGGGTCCATGCCTGTAATACCAGCACTTGGGAGGCTGAGGCAGGGGAATCACTGCCAGTTCAAGACCAACCTGGCTACAAAGTGAGTTCAAGGCCAGTCTGAAGTGCATAGTGAGACCCTATCTCAAAAGACAAAAAAAAGAGAAAACCCCACAGCTAGACAGAGCAGTGCTATTTCCACACAGGGCGGCAGGGGGAGCTCTCTGAGGCCTCAGAGCAGCCTGGGGCTCTTTGTTTCCTCAGAGCCGCTCCGGCCTCGGCCACCAAAGCTACATCCAAAAGCCATTTTCTCCACAAAGCCGGCTTGATATCCATTCCTGCTCTATGACCACAAGGCCAGCGTCCCACCTTTTCTGCACCCTGCCAGGGTCATATGTAGACATCACCACGTGACTTTTAAAATGAAAGAACTGGGGCTGGAGAGATGGCTCTTTTGTCTAAAGCACCTACTTGGAACAAGCTTGGCAAAGCACAGGGACCGCAGTTCAATCCCCCAGCACCACATGCCAGCCAGCTGCGCCCCCTGGTGGGCTGAGCTGGCCACACACACACACACACAATAAATAAATGTTACCAAAAAAAAAAAAAGATCAATGGGAATAAAGGTAAAACAAAGTGAACTTTAAAAAAAATAAACAAAATAAAATAAAATGAAAGAACTTTTTTCTTCAGAACTCTTGGGATTGGAGCCAGGGGCGCTGTACCACGGAGCTACACCCCTTGCCCTGGGGATTGAACTCAGGCCCTTGCGCTTGCCAGGGAAGCGCTTATTCCACTGAGCCATCTCCCCGGCCCTCCCTTGCCCTGTTTTTGAGACAGGTCTCACTCAATTGCCCAGTTTGGCAGTTTGTAATGCTCCTGCCTCAACCTTCTGAGTAGCTGGGATTACAGGTGTGTGCCACCAACTAAGTAGTTTTTTAAAATTAAAATCAAATGCCACATAGAATTGAGACACAGTCCTAGTTCAGAACAGCGGCTATTTTATATGATTTGTATGTATGATTCTCATTCTCTCTGCCTCTGAATTTCCTCTGGAGCTTCCTAGAGGGCAGGGCCTGTGTTTGTTGCATTCCCAGTGCCTCAGCTGCAAGTACTGTTCACGACAACATCTACTGAGCGAACACTCCGGAAGAGTGCCACAGGCAAAGGTGAAAACCTTGCAGAGATCTGAGAGCAGCGAAACTACCACAGCTGGCCAGGCCCAGGAGCAGGCAGGTGATCAATGCTTCAGGCGGCATCTGACTCTGCCCAAACGCGGCGCCAGTGAGCACCATTAAAGCAAAGGGCTCTCAGAAAAAACACTGCAACGATGGGCTGGGTGCAGGCTCAGTGGCAGGGCTTCTGCATGTGTGAGACCCTGGGTTAGATCCCTAGCACTTTTTTTTTTTTTTTTGTATTTTAGGGAAGGGTCTGCAGGGTGTTCAGGGTTTCACTACTAGATCAGCCTGTTTCCAGCCTCCCAAGTGCTGGGATTACAGGTGCGCACCACCACGCCCAGTCTTGGATCCCTATCACATTGTCTTTTTCAGACAGGGTCTCTCTATGCAGTTCAGGCTAGATTTGAGCTCACTTTGAAGCCCAGGCTGGTTTCAAACTTGCAGCGATCTTTCTGCCTCAGCCTTCCCCGTGCTGAGATTACAGGCACACACCACCATGCCCAGCGGATCCCTAGCACTTAGAAAAAATATGTAAAAATCTGGAACCCAGAAGAGCTCTCACCAGACCTTGATGTGGAAATCCACAGGCAGTGTCCGGGAGCCCACCAGCCGCTTCATGAGGTAGCCTTTCCAGTCGGTGAACTTGGCGTGGATGGCTGCGGGACACCAGCAGAATCCTGTCACTTGGAGAATAACTTCTCTCTGCTACTTAGGACAACCACCACCTCATCTCACAAAACCAGGTCCCACAACTTGGATCCTCCCAGGGGTTCCCCTCAAGACCCAGAGCTCCCCCTGCCCAGGGCCCTGAGGGCCAGGGAACATTCTCGCCAACTTACTCCGTGGGGGCACCAGGATCTTGCTGTTGATAGCACACCAGCCGATAGGGTGGACGTCCACGGTGCCCAGGTTGCACCAGAAGTCATGACTGGCATCATTTTCAAAGCCTTCATAGCGGAGCAGCACCCGATAGCCTACAAGGTGGGCCCAGCGCACCAGAAGGGAGGACAGGCTGAAGACAGGTCTCCCCTGGCCTCCCGTCACCTCCAGCCTGAGCTAGACTTCTCACATCCATTCTAGGAACTCCTTCCAGGCAGGTAGGTCCCTGTGGTTCTGGAAGGCACTAGGGCATAGGGAGCTCATTTCTGCACCCTGATCATCTCTGAAAAAAATCGAGCAGCCTTTCCCAGCCTGGCCAGCTCCACCTCCCCTCGAAGGTAGGAGGATCCTAACAAGGAGAAGGATTCTTGTGGAAGGGTACTGTTTGATCTGCGAAGTCAGTGTCTGCTGCTGACACTGCCCACCTGCGAGAAATGTCACTGCACACACAGCCCAGAATGGCCCTGGCCAGGGGGCCACGCACCTGCTGCCTGGATGACAGAGGCAATCCAGTACACCCGGCTGGGGAGCACGGCGTCACTGTTGAGCACCTCCACCTTCATCCCCTTCATGACATCTTCCCACTGGTCATAGAGCGGGACCTGTGTGGTGATGAGCACGTGCTGGAGGCATGAGCTGGCAGACAGAGCAATGCTTCATCGTGTCTCGCTCTGCACCTCAACTGTCCCTATCACCCACTGTACATGGAAAACCAGGCCTGTACCAGCAAGAGACAGCCACTGTCCTTGAAGACCTGGGCACAGGGGCTGGGGCAGGAAAGGGACAGGTGGAGGCCCAGAGTCATAGAACTCTGATATCCGATATTACAGAGCCAGTCCCTGCCCAGCCATCTCGGCACAGCACGCCTGGGGGAGGCCTGTGCACTGGCAGCACATCCTAGTTGTAGTGCCCTCTGTGCACCAGGCCTTTTCCTAGCACAAAAACTACCATGGTAACCATCACTCAACCTGGATGCTAAGTGGGACACCTTCAATTCCCACTGCTGAGACACAATACTCCACACCTACAACCAAAGGGGGCGATATCATGCGCCGCAAGGGCCTGGGTGCAGCAAAACTGCTTCATTCATGGCCCCAGGAAGCAGGTGGGAAGCGTGCCAGAGAGGATCAAAGGGAGGTTTCTGCCACTCACGGCCATGCCTCCAGGGTCCACCCAGAGGATCTTTTACTGCTCTGCTAGGCGGTTCCTAATCCAACAAAGCTGACATACTAGGATCAGTGGTCACAGGGTCTCACTAGGCTGGGCTCAAATTTGTGGTCCTCCTCCCTCCTCTGAGTACTAGGATTATGGACAGATTATAGGCAGGCAACACTGTCCCTGGCTGGTATTAAACGCTTGACCTCAAGTCCATCTCCCATGGGCCTCGCTTTCAGCAGGGAGCCTCCTGCAGAGCTGGGCTGCAGGAGCCATCCCCCACCCCTGGGAGGGGTGCCCAGGCCAGGGTACTGCTCTGTGAGAGGCACTGCCCATGAACAAAAACAGAAAGGCCCAAAACAAATATGGGGTGGGGAGGGGCATGGAGAGAAAAGGAGAAAAGGAGGGTGAGATCCTGAGACGGGCTGGGGAGAGGCTCAGTAGAATAAGCGCAAAGGTCTGAGTTCAATTCCCGGTTCCGCCAAAAAAAAAAAAAAAAAGAGAGAGAGAGAGAAATCCTGAGACATCATGTATCACGAGTTCATGGTATAAACAGAGGGACCATAGAGGAGGCACAGCTGAGCCTGGTACTAGGGCCCTTGTACAGGTATTTTCGGGAGGACTTGCAGGAAGTGGACAAAGAGGTAAAATAGAGAAAGCTGACAGGCCCCCCAGCGTCTGGTCCCACTCACAGGCAGTGGCCCTCCTGAGGTGGGAGCACTACCCCAGCAGCAGCGAGGACTGCTGCGTCCACCCGGCTCCACGGCCCTCCCCAGGGGTACTCACATGTTTAAAGCAGCTGACAGGAGCAGCCTTGTAGCTGTGGTCCTTCAGGAACTTCCCCCAGTCAAAGCCCAGGACCAGAGCTGCAGGGCAGAAACGCAAGAGCCCAGGCTGCGGGCGTGTGCAGCAGCCCTGAAGGGGCCTGGGGCACGGAAAAGGGTCCCTTGTCGGGGCCGGGGAGATGGCTCAGTAGGGTAAGTGCTTCCCTGGCAAGCGCAAGGGCCTGACTTCAATCCCCGGTTCCACCTTTTCAAGCCCAGCAGTCTCTTGACACTGTCCTGAGGCTCCTCTCATGCCACCATACCTGCCCCACCAGTGGTCACTGGGAGAGTGAGGACCAAACCTCCTGGCTAGAGGAATGCTCAGGAATATCTCCCTGTTCTCCTCTCAGAGAAAAGAAAATTCAGGGCTGCTCACGTAAACCCCTCAGCTCTCCCTCCCTGCCTGACCACACCCTGTAAAGGTAGGAGGGGTGTACACCTAGGCCCTGCATCCCTCTTCCCAGCAATTTCAGTCAGAAGCTCAGGTCAACTATCACAGGGCAGCTCTAGGCCTACATTTAATTCAATCAGAAAGAGCTGCATTCAGGAGAGAACAGTCCCTTTCCCCATCCCCCAGCCACTGCACACCGGCTTCAAACCAGTGTGCCCTTCAAACCTGAGCCTCAGCTGCCCAGGGCAGAGGGGCTACCATCATAGAGCAGGGAAACTCAAGAGGATAATCTTGGCTTTTGAACGCCCAAAGATAGGGTTTTGGCAACATGGGCTGAGGGGCGGGATACAAGCCCCAGAGAGCCTGAAGGGCATCTTTTTCAGTCCCTTCTTGGGGAAGGCTGCCCACCTAGCCCCCATCCCAGGCTTCTTGCCACCTCACCATCTTGTCCTGTTGGTGTCCCATCTGCCAGCTGTCCTGTCCCTTGGGAGTGGAGGAAGGCTCCAATTTTAGCAGACCAGGCTGCCTTGTGCAGGACTTTGGCTTTCTTGGTGGGCGGTTTTCCCTGGAGGAAGGAGAGCAGAGGGTGGGGCCTGCTGCAGAACTCAGACCATGGCCTCTGCGGATACTCGGCCTCTGGGGCTTCAGTTTCTTCTGTGCAACCAGACAGTGGCCTTAAGGATACTTGGCCGAGGCTGGTTGTGAGCAGGGTTGGGGCAGGGAGAGAAGGCAGCATCTCATGGGCTAGAAACAGGGGCTAGAAACGCTTTGCTTGAGCAGTGGACATGTGTGGATGTTCTTGACAGATGTCCACTGCTGCCACTAGGGGTCCAAAGAGGATGTCCCTTAAGGGGCAAGTCCTGATATGGTCAGGACCTTGTAACTTAAAACATGGATGAGAAAGGCCAAGAATTTAAACAGATCAGTGAAACAGAACATGGATTTAAATCCCAGATGTGGACCAGCCTGACAGCTCAGCAGACTGAAGCGCCTGCTTAGGCAGAGTGTAGCAGCCAGGGTTTGACCCCCAACTGCCAGGCCGGCCCCACCCGCAGGGCACGCACAAAATTGAGACTGGGCATGATGGTGTGCACCCGTAATTCCAGCGCTCTGGAGGCTGAAAACAGGAGGATCACTATGAGTCCTGTCTATATAGTGAGACCCTGTAGACCGTGTGCTAAAATACAGAAAAACAAAAACAAAAAATAAATCCCAAACAGCCTAGTCCTAATTTTAATTTATATAGCTTTGAGTAAGTTACTGAAATTAAAAAA